AGGGCTTCCCTTCCTCATGGGTTAAGAGAACGAGCTATACTGAAAGGGAAGGCTGAGTTAAGAACAAGTGGACAGGAGAGGCCTGGGTTCAAATTCTGGTTCCCTTGCTAACCAGGAACCTCCTCTCTGCCAGCTGATGGTTCCCCACCTGTGAGCTGAAACCATAACAGCACCCCCAGGGGGTTGGCAGAAGTCATAGGGTTGTGGCACGTAATGTGCTTAATATAGTGCTGACACATAGAAAGATCTCAATAGATGTTAACCATGATGGTTAAACAGGTGGAGAAAGAATTTGTAAACTCTAGGGCCAACCCACTGGCACGTTGGTTAGGAATTTGCTTGGGAGTGTAAGCTCTGAGCAGCAGGGTCGCTGGTTCAGATCCCACATGGGCCAGTGACGCTGCACCCTCTACAGCTAAGATGGTGAGCAACAGCTCGACCTGGAGCTGGGCTGCTGTGAGTCGCCGGCGACGGCGTAGGCTGCAGTGGGGCTGCAGTGGGCTGCCGTGAGCTACATGAGTGGCTGGCAGCCTGCATGAGCTGCCATGAGCCACTGTGAGTGGCCGTCCAATGTTCGGCGACCAATCTGCCTCAGCCAGGAAGAGCGCGATAATAATAACAACATGGGCCAGTGAAGCGACGTCCTCCACAACTAGACTGAAGAACAAAAGGACAGCAACTTGTCTGTTCCCTTCCCCGACTTCCCAATGCTGTTCCCTCCCCCAATTCCCCAATGTAATCTTAAAAAAAAAAATTTGTAAACTCTAAAGCGCTATGGAAGTGGGAGGTGTTCTCGTGATTTTCTTGTGACTTGTGACAGGCCCCGGATGGGAAGAAGGGAGGATGTCCACTCCTGCTCATCACCAGGGGCTGGCAAACTCAGGGCTCATCTCATCTCCTGGGGTGAGCAGTTAAACACCCATCTCAGGCCCTGCTTGCAGCAACTGGGACTCGGTGGGTCTTGGCAGTGCCCCAGAATCTACTAAGTGCCCCAGGAGAGTCTGGAGCAGGCGGAGGGAATCCACGATCTGTGCCCTCCCACTGGAGCTGTGTTGCTGTGGCCCATGAAGCGAGGCTCAGCACCTGGGTGCTGTGCCAGGAGCCCTGGAGCCTGGAGCAGCTGCTCTAATTCATGCAAAGGAAGGTGCCCAGGTTTGCCCTGTCTATTTATAGCTTATTTATGAAGAAGGAAAAACAAGGACCCAGTTGCCTTAGCAACCAGGAGCATCATGGGCTGCTTTCCCTGCAAAGGGAAGATGGCCAAGTCTTCTTGTGGGGGGCATCCCCTGGATGTGTGTATAGCCTGACAGAGGATGGGGCGAGCCTTTCAGGGCCTGTTTCATGCTGGGTTCCTAGCAGCCTGCTGGTCCAGGGAGGGTGCTTGCCTGGCCCTCGGTAAATGCAGGCTGATGCACCCTCTGGTCTCCTTGTCTTGGTGCTACCTCCTGTCTTTTGGGCACCCACCCTGCTGCTTCAGGCCCTTTCCTGGTTGTGCTCTGGCACACGTTTCTTAGGGTACTTGGCACGGTGAACTGGAGGAATAGTTCCCAGATCAACGCCCCTCAAGGCTGTGATCAGTCGCAGAGCTGGCACAGAGCCTAGCACCAGGGAGAGGTTTAATAATTATTGAATGATTGAATGAAGGAACAAACGAAGTACTTTACAGTTTACAGTGTATGCCCTCATTTGGTGCCGGTAAGGTCAGGGAAACTGTGATGTTCTCCCATTTCACAGATGAGAAAACGGAGATGAAGAGACCAGCCTACGATGACACAGCTGGGAACTAGCCCAGCTGGGATGAGAGTCGTTGAGAAGGAAACCTTACTTTTGCTTGGCCAAAGCTTCAGGGAACACAGGAAACTTGGGTTCCAGCTGGGCCATAATTGTTGAGGGTTGAGATGGGAGTGGGTGGTCAGGGAAGTGGTGCTGTGCCTGGTCAGGGACTGGGAGGGGTGTGGTTTGAATCTTGACTCTGCCACTTATCAGCTGTGTGACCTTGAGCCAATGACTTTACCTCTCTGGGCCTCAGTTGCCTCACCCGTAAAGCAGTGCAATGATGCCTGGTCCTTAGGGACTGCTAGCTTCCTGAGGACAGGCACTGTGACTGTCTCTTGAGCATCTGTTTTCCTGGTGTCTGGTACATTCTAGATGCCTACAATGATCATGAGATCCTGTATATAAAGTGGTTAGACCAGAGCTCAGGACATAGGGTGCTCTCGGAAAATGTTAGTTGTTATTGTATTATTAGGAACTGAGACCCTGATGGCTACCCTGAAGTCACACAGCCAAATCCAGAGCAGAAGTGGTGACTTTACTTGTCAGTTGGGTTTGGTGGAACTGCCAGGGATTAACAGGACTGTGTGTCCAGACCCTGGGGAGGGCATTCTGGGATGGGCTGCCCCGGGAGCGGCAGTTGTGTTGGGCAAGGAGGCTGAAGCAGGGGCTCTGATCGCTTGGGATGCAGAGCTGCACTCCACTCACAGGGTGTTCCAGGCCCTGCCCCAGGCTGAGCTGGGTTTCTTGGCCTTGGGCATCATCTCTCGGGCTTCCTGGAGGCTCTCTGTCGCCCTCTGCTGGGCTCTGGCGGCCTCTGCTGGGCCACCTCCAGAGCCCTTAGGCAATGCCACCGCCTGAGCTCAGTCAGGGTGTGAAAACCATACCTAAGAGACCCAGTTATGAAGAGAAATGTCCTGGGGACAAACTGAGGTAACACCTTGTTTCCACATCCTTCTCCGTCTCCTCCAGCTCCCACCCAGACCCTATGGCAGGACACAGGCACCCCGCCACCGTCCTCTGCGGGCTGCAGGCTGCTCTGCTTACCTTCCCTGACTCATCACAGATTCCTGAAGACAATGTGCGCCCAGGGTTTTCTGCTTGGTTTTGCTATGCTCATGTGTCTGTCACTCCTGCCTTCTCACCCCACCAGCTCACACTTTGTCCTTCTGAGCCTCTAGGCTTCTGAAGCACCCCATCCCACCGCGGGTTCCCTCCATCAGCCCTTAGCACGTTGGGCTCTGAGTCTTTTGGGGGACTTCTCCCTTCCCTGGGACTGTGAACTCATGAGGTGTATTAGTCTGCTGGAGCTGCCCAAACAGAGCACCGCACACTGGGTGGCTCAAACAACAGAAATTCACTGTCTCCCAGTTCTGGAGGCTAGAAGTCTGAAACCAAGGTGTCGGCTAGGTTTGGTTCTTTCTGGGGGTGTTTCAGGTCTCTGCCCTAGCTTTGGTGGTTTGCTGGCAAAATTTGATGTTCCTTGGCTTGTAAAAGCATCACCCATCTCTGCCTTCATGTTCACGTGGCATTCTCCTGTGCACGTCTGTCTCCAAATTTCTGCTTTTCATTAGGACACCAGTCATGCTGTATTAAACCCCACTCTAATAATCTCAACTTGATTACCTCTGTAAAGACCCTATCTCCAAATGAGGTGCTGGGGACTAGGACTTTAACATATGCATTTTGGGGGTGACATAATTCAACCCATAACATGAGGAGAAGAACTACATCTGATTCATCTGTGAGTCCATTCCTTTAGAGCTGAGCCCAGAGAAGGAGTGAGAGAGTTTGATGAGTATTATAGGGGCTGTCTTTCACTCTATAATCATTTACTGACCCCACAGTGTTCAGGGTATGTTGGGCTGTCCTGTCTAGGTCTTAAGAGTTGAGTCTCTCATTGGGAGTAAACTCTTCTACAGCAGAGTCCAAGTTTTTTTATTTTTTACATTCACCACAGTAGAAAGTTGGTGACACAGGAGATACTCAAACGTTTTCATCAATAGATTCCTGTGGAGGCAGGTGGGTGAGTATTTTCCTAATTTCACACAAAAGACCCAGAGAAGTAATGAAAAAGAACTTAACTTTTAACAACTATTTATTGAACACATAGTCGTGACAGACACTGGTTCTAGGTGAGTGGGACGCCATTCATTCCTTCCTAGAAACATGCCTGATATATAGGAGGTGCTCAATAAATATTTGCCTAGTGAATACATTAACTCATTTCACAGTTATCGAGGCTGTCATTTACTTGCTGTGCAAATGTGAGCAAGTTACTTCACTTCAGTGAACCTTTTTCCATCAGTAAAATGAGTTGAATTACATAACTACATTTTAGGGTTGTTGGCAGGATGAAATAAATGTATTAACAATAATAGCTATTTATTTAGAAGCTGCTATGTGCCAGGATAGATGCTTTCCATGTACAATTTTCAATTCTCCCAGGAGCCTTTTAAAAATTGAAGTAAAATTAACCATTTAAAAATGTGCATTTCAGTGGTTTGTAGTACATTCACAATGTTGTGTAACCATTACCTCTATCTAATTCCAGAACAGTTTCATCACCCCAAAAAGAGACTCCATACCCATTAAACAGTCATTCCCCATTTCCCCTACCCCCCATCTCCTAGCAACCACTAATCTACTTTCTGTCTGTATGGATTTGTCTACTAAGAACTTTCACAGAAATGGAACCGTACAATATGTGGCTTTCTGTGCCTGGCATCTTTCACTTAGCACGATGTTTTTAAGGTTAATCTACATTGTAACATGTATCAGTGCCTCATTCCTTTTTATGGCGGAATAATATTCTGTTGTATGGACATACCACATTTTGTTTATCTGTTCATCAGTTGATGAACATTTGGGTTGTCTCCATTATTTGGCTATTATGAATAATGTTGCTATGAATCTTTGAGTGCAAGTTTGTGTGAACATACGTTTTTAATTATCTTGGGTATATACATAAGAGAGGAATCCTGGGTCTATGTTTAACTTTTGGGAGAACAGTTTTCTGGAGAAGCTGCACATTTAACATTCCCACAAGCCATATATGAGGGTTCCGGTTTCTCCATATCCTCGCCAACACTTGTTATTATCTGTCTTTTTTATTATAGCCATCCTAGTGGGTGTGCTGTGGTACTATTGCATGTGGTTTTGGTTTGAATTTCCTAATGACTAATGATGTTGGACATCTTTCCATGTGCTTTTTGTTCAATTCATAGCAGCCTTTGGAGGTAGCTGTTATCTCTATTGGACAGCCGAGAAACAGCTTCAGAGTCAAGAGGACTTGCTCAACGCAAGGAGGTGGGTGTGTCTGTCTCCAAAGCCCCATGGAGCCGAATTAACAGCAGAGACTCTGCTCTGGTGGGCAGGAGGCCTGCCTGGTGCGGCCACCTCGGACAAGCCCCTAACTCTCACCCCCAACCCCCAGCTCCCGGCGTCAGTTTCTCTTCCGCGCCACTTGGGGCGCTATACTCTAAACACCTCCGGGCTCCTCTAGGAGCCCGCAACTCCTAAAATCCCTGGCTTTAGCGTGGCGTTTGCCCCGCCCCTTTGGCCCAGGTCGCCGGCGGCGCCGGAAGTACTCGGCTCTTTTGTTGTTTGCTCCCGCCTCCGGCCTGGAAGTACTTTCTTGAGAAGATGGCGGCTGTGTCAGTGTGCCAGCTCCCGGTTGGAGGTTTCTCTTTCGATAACTGCCGCAGGTACGACCACGCCTGGGGCAGGGTTCAGGGCGGGAGCGGGAGTGCCCTGCCGGGGTCGGCGCTGGGCCGCGGCCTGTCCTGGGAAGCCCCTGGGAAGCGCGGACGGCGGGGCCTGCTGCTCGCGGCCTGTGTGACTCAGGGGAATCAGAGCCCGAGCGTGGGTTTCTCCTGAGGCCGGGTCCGCTCTCCCACTTTTCCAGCGCACTCAGACACCTTCCATCTCCGTCTCCTTAGGCAATTTGCCGCCCCTCTCTGACGCTATCTTTGCCGAGAAAACGGGACAATAGGACTGATATTGGGGGCGTTGAGTGAACAGATAGATGGGCGTGCAAGTAAATAGTATGTTGTTTTTTCCCGAGTTCCTGCCAGTGCGGCGCAATGTGGCCCTGCCGTTCAATGCTGTATTCTCTCATTTGCTCTTAGAAATGCCTTCTTGGAAGCGGATTTTGCAAAGAAAGGGTACAAGCTTCCAACGGCCCGGAAAACGGGCACCACCATCGCGGGGGTGGTCTATAAGGTAAGCCGGGCCACAAGCAGCAGTGACTCAACTGATTGCATGAACCAGGCCTCCTTTACTTCTCTGGGCTCCGTCTGGAAGGGCACACGTTACAGAGCACTTTAGGAAAAGGCCTCTTAGGAGAGACTGTTAGGAGGTTTTGTGTGTTGATCAACAAGTTGATATTCTTTCCTTCACTTTGCAGAGTTTTGGACAGGAGGTCAATTTACTTTTCTGTTTTAAGTTACTGCTTTAGAAAGTAGGGTGATGTAATGGGAGAACACAAGCTTTTGGGGTCAGACAGGTATGGCTAACCATTTAACTTACACGCTGCTTCCAGTTTGGGGGCCGGCCACTGTCCTTCTCACAGCCATACTTTCCCTATCCATCAAATGGAAGGACAACTCTGCCCTTAAATTGTTGTAAGGGTCAAAAGAGAAAATGGTTGTTCTTGTTAAAGGTAAAGAGTGACATCTTTTAAAAAGAAATTGACAGAGGTGTCTATTTTAATGGAAGGATTTCTGCATTTTAATCCAGACTTTCCCCATATTAGCTCTGATTTGTAAGGAACTCACTGAATCTCGGAGCCTCATTTGAAAACAGGAATTCCTGCCACCTACTCAGGATTCAACCAATAACATTTATTAATAAGCCTTTTCTTGAATTCTGAAAGTATAGCATAATATTTCTAGTAGGCGTTTTGGTGAGGGGATAGGTGGTTGGGGGAGCAGGGGATGGCCAACATTGTTTTCCCTAAACTAGAGTAGAGAGCTGTGGTTCATATATGTAAGACTTTTTAAAACTGTATATTTGTTTTAAAAAAATAGGATGGCATAGTTCTTGGAGCAGATACAAGGGCAACTGAAGGGATGGTTGTTGCTGACAAGAATTGTGCAAAAATACACTTCATATCTCCTAACATTTAGTAAGTATTGATTAGTTTGAATAGCTCTTATATTTTCAAACATGTCAGGGCTAAAATTGAATTTACTGTGTTTCTCCTTAAAACCTGTCGTTCAATCTGTATTTTATTTCTCTCTCTCTTAAATGGCATTTTTATCCACCTGTCTCCTAAGTTAGTCATCCTTAAGTCCTCTCTTTGCTTTGGTCTTCGATTCATTTGGCCTCTGGTTCTGCCTTCTGTGTGCCTCTTGAATCCATTCCCTCCTATCCTTCCTTCTGCTAAATTTTTTTCTCAGCTGGACTATTGCAGTTGTCGTTTAAATGGCCCCTCTGCCTCTGGTCTCTTCTCCATCTCTATTGTTCACTTTTCTGTCATATTGGATTTTGTAAAACACAGATCTGATTATGTCCCTTTCCTCTTTAAAAACTTTTCAAGAGACTTTTCACATGTTTACACTGCTTTAAGGATAAAATTGAAACTCTAGAGCATGATATTTAAGGCCTTGCACAATCTCACAGAAAGCTTACCTTATTTCAGCCTAGTTAGCTGCCATCACCCCTTGCTCCAGTTACACCTGGACTGTCCCTGAGTCCCTTATGTCCCTATTGCACTCCTCTGCAAGCTATTTCCCCTTTGCTTATGCTAGCCTCTGCTTAGAAATGTCCTTTCCTCTCCTCTGTTTATACAGTGTTTTTATTTTATTCTTCCAGATTCAGCTCATATGAGACCTCTTCTCAAAGATCAGAATTAATTGCTCTCTCCTCCAGTTTCCATAACATTTTATACCTCTGCTACTGTATTATATTATACAAGGTATATGTTTTGTTTACCGGTATCTCTTCCATTCAACTTTGAAGTCGAGTGCTAGGACTGTGTTATATTTTTATCCCCAGCACTCAGTGCAGTAACTGGTACCTGGTTGTAAATACTTGGCAAATATTAAATTGTAAGACTTTTAACATGCCATGCTCTTTTGTACAACTTGGATATATTTGTAGGATAAGTAAAATGTACACTCATTTAGGAACACAGAAACTAGTGATTGCACATGTTCCATTGGACCACAGAAAATATATTGGTATATATATAATTAGATACATATTCTCAGTTTTATGTTTATTTGCTTGGTTAGAGAGAGCGGTTGTAGTGTGGATGCACTCAAAAACATCTCTCTTTATACCTGAACTTCTTGGAAGTTATCCAAGAAGCTCTACTTCTAATCGAGTCTTCTGGTGATTGAATTTCAGCTAAGTTTCTATCATATTTTTTAGTTGTTGTGGTGCTGGGACCGCTGCAGACACGGACATGACCACCCAGCTCATTTCCTCCAACTTGGAGCTGCATTCCCTCTCCACTGGTCGGCTCCCCAGAGTTGTGACGGCCAATCGCATGCTGAAGCAGATGCTTTTTAGGTAAGGTTCCAGGACGAGGAGTGATAGAGCATCTATTTCTCATGGCTTGGACTTTGAGCCAGAAGAAGCCCGGAAGCTGGAGAAAAAGCAATCAGAAATACATATATTATTTTAGGAATCAATTGTTACTAAAAAGCCATTTTAATTTCAAAGGCTTTTGATAATGGATTTGAATTTATGGGGTTGTTTTTTGTGCGTAAATCACATGTGACTCGTTCGTCATTTCCTGAGGCATAGGGATATTACTGGATTAAAAAACTTTTTGTTCAGAGGAGGAAAGTTAGAGCTGGAGGGAACCTTTGAGTTCATCTTGTGAACACACACACACACACACACACACACACACACACACACACACATAAACATAATGAAAAATGATAATATTAATGTTAACCAATATTTATCTATATCTTTGTGCCAGGCTCTGTGCTACTTGCTTTCTGCATGATTTCGTTTTAGTCTTTTAATTCTGAGAGGGGCTTCTTCAGTTTATACGTGAACATGGAGGCTTAAAGAGGTCACATGCCTGACCTGACCTTCGCTCCCCTTTAATTCCCACAGACAGTTCCTCTTAGTAGTTTTGTTTTTCCTTCTTGCTTAATAATTACATCATCACTTTATGTTTGTATAGGTCTTGACAGTTTTTAACTTTTAAGTCCATTTTCTCATTTGCTCTTCGTGAAGAGAGGCAGTGCATTATAGAAGAAATAGCCTGGGTATTTAGTCTTGGGTTGGAATACTGGCTTCTCTTTTTGGGACCTGCCTTAACCCTTACCAAATACTCTCCTCTTTCCTTTGTAGAATGTGCTCATCTTGATACCTTTTTTTTCTTTCCTTTTGAGTTGACTTGAGATCTTGATTCTGGTCCTCCTCATTCACTAAGCAGCCACACAAAACGTTTCTTTATCTCGGCCCCAGGCGGCAGCAGCAGTTGCATCTGAGCCTGACAGTTAAAGAGAAGCAGGAATAGAAAGGTAAAGTTATAAACTGGCGACTCAGAGGTCATATTCAGCTCATAGAGAAATTTTATTTGGGTCATGTAGTGTTTTTAAGTAATAGTGGCTGATAATTATAAACTGGGAGATTTGAATTAAAAATCTGGATTTCTGGCTCCTTCTGAAAAAAGTTCAGAAAGAGGGTGGTGTAACATGTGGCAGGAATCTTCTGGAACTGAGTGGCAGATGCTGCCTTTGAAAGTCGGAGTATATGTCTGGTCTGTGCATCCCTGCCCAGTTCACTTCCCTTTGTTTCCTGCTTGTCCCTGGTCTTCCTGTAAATTTGCGGGTCTTCACCTACGAGTCTAGCACGGCCCCTGGACTCTCAGTAAGTGGATATGAGATTTAATGTAGTTCTATAGCAGCAGTAGGATAGTTCCCATTTTACAGGTGAGGAGACCGGGACTTAGGAGTCATGTGGGCAAGGAGCCTAGTCATAGCCACCTGATTCCTGCTCCGACTGCACTGCGCCCTGTGTCAGTGATGTACAGTTATTTGTGTACATCGTCATCATCCTAACCTGGAGAATTTGTGCCTATCAAATAAATTCTTCCAGTATAGTGTGAGATCTTGTGATAGTATATGTCAAGATTTCTGCAGATATTTGTGATTTTGATTTTAAATACAAAGCTCCCTCTGCTGGTTTGTATAGTGCATTACATTTAAAGCAATTTTTAAACTTGTAAAATTGCAGTAAATAGAAAATTTTGAGATTTCTTGCAGTGTCATTTAAAGCATTTAGCTAAATCTAGCAGATGTTTCTGTTATCTCTTTAGAATGTTTTAGGAATTCTGAATTCTCTTTTTGTCAGT